TAAAATAATGAAATACAATATTTTTTTTTTTAATTTATTATTTTAATATTTGAATTTTAATACTTTCGTTTCTTATTTTCAAGCAGAAATTAATATAATTAATAAATGAAATCTCGATAATAATTTAGATATTAGTTTATAGTTCAAAGCTGTAATTGTGAATTTTCAGGTTGGCCTGAAGGGTGGACATTAATGTGTGATGTTCTATTGCGCCTACCACTGTCTATATTCGTAAAACTTCATTTTGTCTCATTTGTTATACCAGAATTAGATGAATATATAAACCATCCTATTCGAAAGCATTATTTAGTTAGAGAGTTACCACCAGAGGTTCGGAATTCTTTACTGTATGCCCGCAAGTATATTTTTAACATTCATGAAACAATGACAAGATTATGTTACATTGGCTTAATACAATTTGGGCCTCAAAAATTAAAGGAAAAAGACCAAGTATTTATTTACGTGAATCGTCGTACAGAACTTATGGATACAACTTCTTCTGCTCCTGGTTATCATATAATTGAGGACAAGTCATATCCAATATATAAATATAGTTTCGATGAGTTGTCGGTAGTTGAAAAATATTGGTACGATATGTGGAATACATGTATTAGTACACCACTAGGTGGTCGACTTGTTGTTCAAGGGAAGGATATAGTACTAGAAGACTTAAATAAGAAAACTGCAATGATTCAAGCAGCAGTAGCTCGTTCTCCAGAAGAAGCGGTAAAATTAGATACTGGACAAGTGCCTGGTGATCATAAAGGAGCTGCAGGAATAGATTCAGCATGTTTCGCGCATCTCAAAAGAAACTGGAACTGGGGTATTAGTAATAACACTCAGCAAACAAAAAAACAACAGAACGTAGAATATGAAAGAGATACCTATCTTTCGAAAATAAAAGCAAAACCTCTGAAATTCACAGAATTTTCTGGTTTGAAGAGAGTGTCTGGTCCTCCGTCTGTTAATGCAACTGAATTGAGGAAGAAAGTGCAAACAAAAACTGACGGAAACACAAATCAACAAAAAAAATATGAAGCACTGACATGTTGTCGAAATGCGAAACAGAAATCTTACGTAAGGAGAGTACTACCGCGTAAATGTTCTAACAGAAAACGAACGAAGTATGACGAAATTGATTATCGTGCATTGCAACGAATGCATAAGTTACGAGTAGATTGGGATCCATATGAGGATAAGATTTTGCTTATTTGTAAGGTAGCCATGGTATACTTGTGTCCAAATCCACGAAAACAAGTGATAACATTTTCTATGGTGAGGGACGTTCTACGAACGTACTCGCACATTTCATATAATAAAACATCGAGAGCTTGTCAACGACGATTGTTGTATATGCTTAGACAACAACAAAATGTAAATATCGTTGCCTTAGGAGTTGAAGAGATTAAACAGAATTTTTTTATTAGGACACGTTTCGATAATATCATGGATAGGCTCAAAGAAGAACATAAGAATTTTTATGAGTTTGACACACAAGTTGCAGAAGTGTTCAAATCATTAGTTTCTTACATCATTAAGAAATACTACGATATTTCAGATGTTGAAGCAAAGGACCCCCTTCCTATGCCAGCAACTGCTCAAGAATTTAATGTGTTTTATAAAGTGGTACATCCTACAAAACCATTTGGCAATCGTGGCTTTACGAAAGATGTTCGAAATATTAATGATATAAATTCTGCAGTCATTAATTCTGTCATTCACAGTTCTATGTGTTGTGGAAAAGATAGAAGATCTTGGGCATATCAGCTATTTAAAGTGTACCAGCAATATCCAGAGATGCTGCTACGTAACGCTATGGCAAAAATTCGAAGTGATCAATTGGTTACAGTTAAAAAAAGTCAATTACCTACAATAAGAAAATATGGTAATTATATGCCTATGAGTAGTTCTCAATATCAGCTAAGTAGTAATTACATATATAAATTTCATACCAAATGGCCGTACGATATTTTTAAAGAATCGTATGATGTTTTCTTTAAACTTAGTAACTGGTATCATCAAATTCAATTAAATAAGGAGAATGACATGCTAGAAAATAGCATAGGTGTTGAAGTGTCACCAGTAACTGGTGGAGTAATAGCAGCAATACATGATTATATTACAAGAGACCAAATAGATTTTGACATTGAAGTACCCGATCAAGTGATAATGCTTGATCCAAGATTACAAGAAAAAGATGAGACATACTTTAGAATTGCTAAAAGGTATCAAGACGTCTTAGCAAGCTTAGACAATTTGAAATATATAAAAGAATCTTCTTCTCAAAATAGTGGTGTAATAACTAATCTTGGACAGAATAAAGAACGATGTAAGTGCTTTAATTCTGATATTTTAAACGTTAACGATGTTAATTTTCATGGTATCGATTCAAAATCACAGAAAGATGTCTTCTTAGATATGGATGCTGAAAAAAATTTACTGTCACAAGAATACGACGTTGAAGAAAGGAATTTTGAAGATGCTAAGAGCTTCGCTGACTATGATGATTTGAACTTTAATAGCGACGACGAAAACTCTTGTAATGCAGCTGATGATAATACAATCAAATTTCAAGATGGTACCAAAATTGTATTAAATAAAGAAGATATTGAGCGTTCAACAGCTTGCGATGAGGATGCAGCAATGGAAATAGAAGAAGATAATAATCTTAAACTTCCCAACGAAGAACAACTGTTACACTATAATGAAGGTAATAGTGTAACAAATATGGAAAATTTAGTTCCTTCTCATTTGAGTTCAAAATCAAAAACAGATATTCAAAAACAGATAATTACCTGTGGAAATAAGAGATGTAGTAACAAAGATGAATCTGATGTAGATGAACCAAAAAAGAAAAGGTTAAAATCAGATGATGAAGTGGTGAATTGTGAAACAAAGACAAAGAAGGATGTAAGTGAGTTACCAAATAATGATAATATTTCAATAAAATTATCAGATCAAATACAAAACAATGATTCAAATAAAACTTCTATCCATGAAGTTGATAATTATAATGGTATGAAACAAATAACTGATAGTACTAATCCTAGTGAACAAACTGCTTTAAATATAAAAAATGAAATTACTATTCCATTAAGGAAGATAAATGAACAAACATTCACACGTGTTAGCGACATTTTGAAAAGTGTACCTTCCGAACAGTGTTATCTGCATCAATATTGTAAAATTGATGATTCAGGCGATATGCACAAACGATATACTCGTTTAGCTTTGTTGAGAATGCGAGAGGAATTAAGTGAACTCACTGTGGCTGACAGTCATCATGCTCATGAATATTTTGTTGTAAATATGTTCAAAGTTTTTTATTCATTAAATGCACCAAATTCGCAAGGTTCAATAGCATATGAAATTTTTAGAAATTTTCCGATACCTTCAGAATTGTTACCTTTAAAATTAGAAGCTGCAAGTAGTTTAATTCGTGAGCTGAACGAATATGCTGTTTTTCCTAAAGATGGAATTTCATATTCTGATCTTAAGAAAAATCTTTCTGAAGAGTTTCCCTTATGCTTGAGTGATATAGAAGCAGTTTATAAATTTGTACGTGATAAAAAAGAACTTGGGGCTACTATCCCAGAATTGACAGTAAGTAAATGCTAAATTACATTTTTCTAGTGTAGTATAATAAATAAACATAAACTATATATAAATATGCATATGTTTGCGAAGATATAAAAGATTGAAAAGTGGAATTTACTATGTAACTATATAATACTGTCTGCTTTACAAATTTTATATTCAAATTTGGTTTTTTTATACAGGATCAATTTATAAATACCTTAGGAGAAAATTTATTTCATATTCTTTCATTCCTCGTCAAACATCATTTGTTTTTGCGATCTGGGGTAACAACTGTTCGATGTATACACCATCGTTATGCGGATTCGTGGTTAATACATTCATATAAAATTTGTCGTCTTGAAAAGGAGTCCCTTGTTCCCCTGCCCAAGAAAACAGTGTACGTGACAGAACCTGAGATAATAATAACTGAAGGTGGCAATGACGTAAATACGATTGAAAAATCTAATGAGAATCCTAGCGTTTCATCAGAAAAAGTAACACCCAACACTGCTGGTGGGAATCTTGAATGTTCTACTCAATCGGAAATAAAGAATCAAGAAAATGAAGATTCTGATAAGGAATTATCTGATCATAGTGATGAAGAATACAATACACAAGTAAAAAAAAGAATGCAGAGAAAAAGAACAGGTTTATTGCCACAAAGGGACATATCTAGGGCTGTGAAACAGTTAGACCTTACGTAATTTTTCTTTTTGTATTCAAAATTCTTGAGAAAAATAAATTTATATAAGTCGGTAATTTTTTTAATTGATATTTCAGGACAAAAGAAGAAATACGTGTTGCCATAAAACCGTGGATTCGGATAGATGGAGTTTTGAATCGTAGAGTGTTAGATCGCATGTTGGGTGCAGTATTATCATACTGTTTGACGCATCCGGGTATAGCACTAACAAAAGTGCAAACTAGATTTCTCCCCGCTTTACAACCGTGTCATACACGTGAATTAGTTGAGGTAATTGTTTAATCTTTAAATACTTAATACTCGCAGTAATGTTTTGTTATATTTGAAGTTACGTTTTGAGAAGTGTTATACAGGGTGTTTCCGAAGTGTCCGGAGAGTACCATTCGATAAACAGACAACTTTGGATGCTGATATCTTGATAATGGCTTACTCGAAAAATTTCATTTGTATAGTTTGGAAAAGCTTGAATGTGGGCTTCAAAAATATGAAATAGAAACTATTAGGTTCTATTTAAGAACTGTAACGTGACCTTCATAGAATGTTTGAAGGTCACCTTGCGGTCAAATACCTCCAGTCCTGATATGTAATATGTATTTCATACCTTGTAAATTTTGATTGACACATTTGTTCGTATCACTGATATTTTTCGAGATAATTCGGTATACTTATCTTTGAAGTAATAACACGCATATTCTCGATTCGGTCCCCATACATTTTTTTTTTTAAACAAAACCTATTTTTATCTCGGAAACTAGTGAGCTTTCGATCCATATTTACTGGAAGGATTTCTAATTCAGTTTAATGAGTTGTATACACCCTATTATTTGTGCGCTACAATTTAAAAACACCCTGTATATTTTACTGCCATTATTTTTTATTATTAATGATAAGGAAGATTGATAATAAAAAAGCAAATTTTACTTGTTTCAAGAAAAAATATTTAATTGTCATTATTTGATTTTGTAAAATATTTATTTTTAAAACAGATTTTAGTGAAGTTGGAATGTTTGGAGAGGATAATATTAAAAAAACCACGCGTAACTTTGTTTTCGAAACCATCACCGATTGAACCAAGTAAGCGAGAAACTTATGATATATTCCGCACTCATTATTGAGTTTTTTTGGACATAAGTTATGTTCTTTTGGTTCTAAATATCAGTTGTTATTCGATTTTCTGATTTTCATTAAAAAGCAAGAGCTACAGTTAGAAAAATTTTTCCAAATATACATGACTTATACCCAAAGCGTTAGCACTGAAAAATCTTATAACTTTAAAACTAGAGAAATTAAGAATAAGAACGTTACGTTAAGTTAACTGAAAAAGTTTATTTATTATTATTTATTACACTGATTATTTTTTTTATTCTGCGTTTTAGAGACTGTAAACAATGATTGGAATACTGAAGAAGAAATTTTCCTTGAACCTGCTACAGGAGCAATGTTAAAGTTCGGAATTTTTTTGAGCACTAAGATGTATAATTCCGATTATATTAAATAAGGGACATAAAGAGAACTGTTAAATTTTATAAAAATAGACACATTTACATTTATATAAACTGACATCAATCAATTTGTATATTTAACAATTAGATTTATAATTACAGAGCATGTAAAAAGGTACTTAAAATTATGTTACATTAGCATTAGTTAGTCAGTTGAGTTACTGTGTCATAATTTTTATATTTTCTTTTCTCTTTTAATATGTAAGATAAATTTGTTTTTATACAATATATTATTCAGTTGTTTTTTGTTTTATATGATTGTTGTTATATTGATATTAAAATCCATCGCTTCTTTATATAAAATAATATAGTGTTATTATTTACTTCAAAATCCTACTATCCTTCGTCTGCCGGTTTATGTTAAAATATTTTTATATTCTTAAATTATTAAAAAAATATCAATATCGTATTTTAAATGATGAAGCATTATAATATAAAAAATGAAATAGCAGCTGCTTGTTTGACAATAACAAAATGTAATACAATTAAGTATATTTTTTTCAAATTTTAGAGATTCATATTTTTTATTAAAGTTTCTACTGAAGTAAAGCAAATAAAAGAGATTATGTAATATTTTGTAGCAGTTTACATAAATTCGTAAGGTTAAAAAATTGGAATTTATACTATTATATATTATACATACAAGACTTCGTTACATTT